TCTCAAAGCACCACAACTATCTCAATCCACACAATGGGATGAGCAACTTCGAAAACATCTCCCCTAGTCCTAGTGATCAACAACTTATCATCACAGCTTAATCAGCTTACAACTCAACAACACAGCTTTACAGCAATAGGCATCTTAACAACTTTACAGCAATAGGCATCTTAACAACTTTACAACAATAAGCATCTTAACAACTTTACAACAATAAGAAACTTAACAACTTTACAACAATAGGCATCTTAACAACTTTACAGCAATAGGCATCTTAACAACTTTACAACAATAGGCATCTTAACAACTTTACAACAATAAGCAACTTATGCAACTTAACAACTTTACAGCAATAAACAACTATAGTCATCAATCTCAACTTTAACAACTTTAAACAACATAGCAATTTTTCCACATACATCCTAATACAACTTTACAACTTATAAACTACTTCAACTTATACCTCTCAACTTGTTAATAATTCAACAATAAACATGTAAACAACTTCACAACTTAATCTCATTTACATCTCATTTTCATCTCATTTGCATCTCATCTTCATCACAAAAGCATCACCAAAAAAATCTACAATCTAGCTTCTCTTACCTGAAGATTGGCTCGAAAAGCCAAGAATCTGAGAAGAAGAAGAAGAAATATCCTCCAAAGCTTGACTCTTGAACTTCAATCCTCTAAAAGTAAGCTTTCTAGTTCAGAGCCCTTCTCTTTAGAACTTCTCTCTAAAACCTCCATTTCTCCTCAACTGTCCACAAGTCCTATTTATAGAAATCTGAAACAGCCAGAACGGCCCGTTTCGAATCCGAAACAGCCCTTTCTGGGCTCCTTCATCATGTGTAAAATTCATATGTAGAACGGCCCGTTCTGAAACCAGAACGACCCGTTCTGGCACGTCTAGAACGACCCGTTCTCAAACCAGAACTGCCCGTTCTAGAGTTGAATTTAACTCACAATGACCATTTTGGAACGGCCCGTTCTAGTTCAAGATTTGTAGGCCTATTTAGTAGTTTGGAATGCCTCGTTCTAGTCTGGAAACGACCCATTTTGAGCTAGTTCCAGTTCAAGATTCGTAGACCTGTTTAGTAGTTTGGAATGACTCGTTCCAGTCTAGGAACGGGCCGTTTTGGGCTACTAAATCATCCTTGTTTTAGTAGTTTGGAATGACCCGTTCCAATCTGAGAACGCTCCGTTCCAGACTACTAACTACGTTACATGTTGCATACATATTTACCTTAGCCATGAGTGGTGACTAAGAAGGGATGCATCTTTATACAATGACCATAAGTGGTGATTAACAATTTGAGGCCGATAATAAGTGATGTAAACGGTGTGGGATGTATTATTTATATAGTGGCCATAAGTAGTGATTAATAGTGTTGAAAGTAGAAGGAGTGTTTCATGCCATGAATTACGAATATGAAGATTTAGTGTTTCATTTTGCATGTGGTTGCTAGATGTTAAATGCCGAAGATTTTCATTAAATGACAATTGGTTGTTTTGGGATGGATTATTGTGGTTGATCAAAGAGAGACTCAGAAACCTATTCTTGATTGTTTTAACAATGATTCAGATTAAATATTCTAGAACAATTAAAACTTTACGAGTCATTTGTATTTGGAACAACCAATTAAAATTGTAAAATTTGCTTTTGGATTATATAATTCAAATGATTTATAAAATTATAATTTAGATATAGAAAATTAGGTGCATATTTAACTTTGGAACTCCGATGTTTAAAAGAAAAAAAATCATAATCATTTGGTATAGAAAAAATTTAAAAAATAAAAAATATATATAATTTTCACACTTTTATTTATTTATTTTAAATAAACGCGAAAATGAACATTACATATTTAAAATCTATTCAAATAAATGTTACTCACATTTAAATAATACGCTTAAAATTCATTTGTATTTCAATAAAACATTACTCATATTTGAATACATTACTAAAATTGTTACTAACTTGAAAAAGGTTTTATTTAATTAAATAAATAAAACTTTTATTTAAATATGTTTTCAAAAGAAAACGTAAACTTTCTATCGAATAGAACTGTGGTTATTCGAATGAAAGTTTATTTACTTATTTTAAAATATTTATTTATTTAGTTATATAAATTTTTTATTTAAATGATTGAAATAAAAATAATTAATAAAAAATTAATTGTAAAAATACTTTTTATTTTCTATTTATCCTTTTAACTTTATTATTTACTTATTTATTTCTTTTTTATATCCTTTATTTCTCACATATTTCTTTTCATCTTACTAAACATACATAATATTATTTCTCACTTATTTTTCTTTAACCAAATAATCAAAATTTTATTATATTTTTTTTATCTAATTTTACTTACTTATTTCTCTTTTCTCTATTTCTCAACCGTCTCTTTTAACTCTACCAAACATACCATAAAAAGTGTTAGTGAAATAAAGATATTTTAAACTTTTTAAATAACAGGTGTTTAGTGCAAAACGACATATGAACAAGAAATAATCAAGTGTAAAATTTAGTGAGAAGTTTTGAACAAGTTTCCTAAGAGACTTTAAACTTGAAGCCTGTGGCCCGCACAATTAATGGACTTATTTTTAAAAACACATAATTATAACAGAAAGTAAGTCTTACTCACAAAGTCCGCAGATTTAATGAACCGACCTGTTTAAGAAAATTGTTGTTTTTTTTCTAGCTTTATAGAGGATTTTAAATATAAATGATTTTATTATTTTGTTAATAAATAAATATAAACAATAAGTATTGAATTTAATATATTTCTATTTAAAATATATTACATATTTGTTACCTAAATCTTTTTATGCATAAATGTTTAAGATTAAATGTACAAGTGATATATTAATATTTTTTTTGATAATTTGATATATTAATAATTTAATGTTTTAGTTAAAATGAGTAAACATTTATATGTTTAAATTTTCATCATTTTTTTATTTTAGATTATTTAATACTTATATTTTTTTATAATATTTTTATGTATTCCTCATTTATAATAAAAAGAAAAGAAAAAAAATGTTTTTTTTTTTTAATTTTAATCATGAATTTCGTGGAACAAACTTATCCAATCCATTAAAACCTGAGTTTTGTAGACCGAACCTTAAATTAGCCAGACTAGCATAACTAAACAAATTTTATTTCCTTTGCCACATGACGAGCAAAGAGATTCATCAAAATGTGAGGACAAAACTCCTAAACGTAGACCATAATTATAAGGCTGTAGCGTATTACATAATTGGCTGGTTAAACCTATATTAGAAATCATCATTAACAGAATCCTTACCGTGTTATATATTCAAGGACTAGATTTTGTCCAGAGAGTTGTCATCACACTTTTTGCATCACACCCACTCTAGATATGTGGATTTAAAAAATCTATGATAAAAAGAAAAAAAGAGAATAAAAAACTAAGGAATTAGACTAAAATACTTCAACCAGTATCTAAGTTTATCTTTGACAAAAATAACTTTTGACCAAACTTAACTTATTTTGAACCAAATTAATTTAAAACCAAACCTTAAAATACCGATGTGAAAAAAAAAAAAAAAACAGAAAAAAATATTGAAATTATTGTAAATTTATACCATTATAAATTGCCACTACTACAGCATTTCAAGGGCTCTGCCTCCCAATTCCCACACTCCACTAGACATTTTTCAACTATCTGCCTCCATAGCTGAGAAGCTTCAAGGAGAATGATAGTGCAATTTAGACCAACTCTTTTATTGTCTTGAAAAATATATATGCAGTGGTAGATATTGGATTTTGACATGATGATGTTATGCAACAACTAGTGGAAATATCATGGCAAGCGATTGGTTGTCTCTGGTCTCCAAAAGTAGCAAAGAAGTAACAAAAATTCCCAATCAATTAAAAAAAAAGAACAATTGAATAGACAATCCAACTTCCTAATTCCTTCATCCGGGATAGAATGTTTCTTTAGCATTTCTCTAGTTCGAGAATAAGATGCCACGATCAAATTCCGTAATTAAAAAGGAATCAGGGGGTGCAGAGTCAATAGAAACAAAGTCCCAGAGACCATCACCATGGTCCTGAGATCACTCTCAAAATACTGAACATATTTGACAGCACATGCATTGTATAAGAATGCTCAATCTGATCATTCAACCGGAAATTGAATTAGAATTTCAATCTCTCTCCCCTCCTCTGCCATTTTCATATCAAGACATTTTCAATAACTTAATTAAAACCACCAAAAGGTTAAATTTCAGAAACTATGGTGGTTTTTATATTTGATATTCTCTAACATGGTAAATCAAATTCTCCATTCCACTTCCAACAAGATATTAGATATTCCAAGTTCAAACCATATTACGCAACTACTAAGCTACAAATGTAACCAATGTAATAAACTGATACTAATACCACATGAACTAGAAGATGGAGCATATAAACCTCAAGTGTAACTTAACAGCAATGCACATTACGACAAACCCAACCTTACTCGTGCATAACTCACACGAGCAGAAATTATGACTTTATGAGATAAAATTAAACCCTACATATATTCTATTATACGCCAGAAATAATGAGATTTGGGTTATGTATTTCCGAGGCTTAAATGAGTATTGAGAACACAAACCTCACCAACAAACATCAGACCACAAATCTCACCAATGTAATGAACTCAAAAGAAACGACTTCAAAGGTAACGAACAATATGATAAAACTAACACTGCTAGTGCAACTTCACGCAAAGTCATAAATTACAAAATTAAACCTCAAATTGATTTTATTCCATACACCAGACATGATGATATCTAAGTACCATTAGAGCACTACGATGAATTTCCATGGCATCAAAAATTAAAAAAACAAAAAAAAAACGCACAAGACAATGCAACATGAAATCGAACAATATAATTCAGAAAAATATAGACAATGCGGCAATTGAGCATGCAGTTACAGTTAACAACAAAATTCCAGATCGAAATCAATAAAACACATTGCGGAATGAATAAATCTCTTGAATAAAATTGAGATAACTCACAGATCCATTAATAAGACCTGCAAATTCTGTATATAATAAAATCAGCACAACAGAGATCCATTATCCATACAAATATAATCATAATCCATATTCACCTATGTATAATAAAACGTATTATCAACACAGATCAGATCAAGGAATTTAAACCAAAAAAAACAAAAGAGATACTACATTTCTCCGCATTCATCCCGCTTTCAGGCACCGAAACTCAACGGATCAGGCTATCCGATGCCAGATCTGAGGACTCCCCGCTCAGACGCGTGCGCCGACGGAGGGAACAGCGGCAGCGGCGGCGACGGCGGGACCGCGGAGGAAGGAGAGGAATCCGGTGGCCTGAGAGTTCTCCTGGTCGTCGAGGAAGAGATCCTCGGGGACGCGGAAGGCGCCGTGGAGGCAAACGACGGCGACGCCGAGCATGAGAGCGGAGACGAGGACGGAGCCGACGCTGGTGAGGAAAATGGTGAAGACGGTGAAGGCGGAGAGGAGCGCTAGGGTTTCGAAGTCGGAGAAGGTGCGTCCGAGGATGACGAGAGGCTGGTCGGCGGGGCGGAAGAGGTAGAGGAAGGTCCACGAGGCGAGGAGGCCGATGAGGAGAATGAGGGAGAAAGGATTCGTGAGGAGCGAAACGGCGAGGATCAACGAAACGACGGCGTAGTAGTTAACGCGGAAGTAGGAGAAGTTCTTGCGCACGCGGAGCGTGGCTTCGGAGAAGGATTCGGGTTTGGAGAACGCGGAGCGATCAGTTAGCTCCGACCAGGGGCGGCGCTGGTCGAGGCCGTTCCGGAGGGAGACGGAGAGGTTGTTGATGAAGGCGCGGAAGGCGGGGTTGTTGGCCGGAGCTTCACCTCCTGCCACGGCGG